GCCTCTTTTTAATATCGGCTTCCGCTCTCCACATGGAGATTGTGGGGAAGTGTGTGAGCTGCACATTGTAATCAGAGCTAGGATGTGCAGCTGGCACTCGAATGTCTGTGTCTGATTGTATAACAGTGGCACTTGGAGTATTGACTTCAACTGTCCCATGTGAGTCGCTTGAACTGGCTGAAGGAGACAGAAAACACTTAAACTTTTCCAAAAAACATGTACAGTCAGCAAGAAAACCCTCAAGTTGTTTTAATGTGACTTCTGTTTTGTTCTTTGTAAAGAAGGTACAGGCCTTGACTTCCTGTCTAGCTTTCTCAGCAGCAAGAGAGGCTTGCTTTAAAAATAGTCCTATAGCATCCCCTTGTGGGGGAGGACTGTCACTGTCCCCAAAAATCTTTTTTGTTTTTGCATCTGCATTATCCTGCGTATCTTTAGGAACCTATTTAACCATTTAAACAAAAACTTGTAGAGTACTGACCCCAAAGAATCAGATTTGCTCATTTTCCACTCTTGAACAACATTTGCAGACATATTGAAAATGATGCACACGTGACTGGCGTTTCAACTGAAATTATCTCTGTCCAGAATTATTTATTCCACTGGGAAGCTTCTACATCAGAACTTTTTCTGATGCGCCCGATCGCTGGGGGTTCTCCCAATCAACAGTTCTGTTTTAATTTAACTGAATACGCCGTCACCATAAAGGCCATAATACAGTTTTCCCATAAACTATGCCCAGTCCTGTAACCAAAAACAAATCTGCCAGAGGCACACTATTTCACATCGGATTCTCCCAGTAGCACTTGTTGCTATGAGATATGCATGTGAAAAAAAAAAAAAAAAATTTCCCTGTGCACTCATTAATCATTTAACAGTTATCAGTGATCGTCTTGTAAATATTTAGATGTTCAGAAATGCTCAGAGAAGTCTCCGCTCAGAGAAGGCTCCTCCTTCCACTTCCGCCTTCAACAAGCCAGTCTTCCCATCGGGGCAAAAATCCTAATAATTTTGGAGACAACCGTCAAAATTTGTGGTTATCCACTTATTAATGTGAATTTTACGTCTCTGATAGTCATCAATCTCTGTAACAAATGAGACTATGTGCTTCAGAACTTTTTCATGTGGCCAAAAAACAGCACCAGCACATTTCAATATAAGAGTGTTATCTTACCTTTACTGTAATTGTTTGGTTTTTAAGTCAGGAATTTACAGTCCACACAGATCAACAAAATGTAAAGTCCAATATGCAGAAATTCTGTACAGATGTCTCCTGCTGACCTTTTATTATTGCCGGCAAGTGTTGATGTGTGCAGTCCGTTCACTCCTGACATGGAATCCAGCTCAGAATTCAGCCAATTCCGAAAGTCACGACACCAAGTTGTAATACCCCAGTTCCTTTATTGGACAGATCTGATTTTTATCGTACGGTCGAGTTTTATTTAACAGGCCATGACTTATAGCGTACGTAGCCTGCATTTAGAGCCTCATTCCGTGTAATTATGGCTACTGTTATACCCCAGTTCTTTTATTGGACAGATCTGAGTAAGGAAGGAGTCCATCTTTTTGGATTTTAGTGCTGGTTTTATTTTAAATATATTTATACACACACAAAGATTACAGAACACTACCCGGGCTGCTCCCTCTGTCAGACCAGCTGTTGGAGAAGAGAAGCTCCCTGGAACACAGAGCCTAATACATTTATACAAGTTCTTGGGCTAACCCCTTTACGCAAACAGATATAGAATCATCATGAGTTGGAGACAGTCTGACGTCTCCTTCTCTTATCTTATGCTCCACATGCGTCAAGCATTAATCAGAACAAATGAAGAACTCCGTGTGTGTGTACAGTATGTTGTTACGTGGTGTGTAACTAAACCAATCATTCAGACATGAATTTAACACCAGATTAATACAAGAAAACAATTGACATCAAAATACACTTGTCAGATTTAACATTATCTTCTAACCTTGAAGCAAAGCACACTAGAGCAGACTTCAAATATTACTAACTGCATTATGATTCTTAACAGAACACAAGGGTTAACAACACATTAAAGCACATTAATGTCTATAATTATCTGACTGAATTATTCATTTCTAACAGTAGTTTGTGTCGTTTTGTTCGTTGTCAGTGCTCATATTAAAGAGACAGTTTCCGCCTGTACTCATCTGGCATTCACCCCTTGACTTTATCGGCAGCTTTACGGGCTGATCCCGACAGTACAGTCTGGCCAACATGAACTCAGCCAGTGAGGAATACTCGTGTTTTGGCAGTGACCAGTGTACAGGCATCTGAAGGACAGCTTTCATGCCACTCAGCAGTTCAACACACCTGTTCACCCGCATCTCTGATCTGCCAGAGTCACAAACCCACAGAGCTCACACACCTCTATCAGAGTAGGGACGTGTATTCACACCGCAGCAGCCCAGCCTTATTCTGAGGAGACCCCCCTGACTCCAGCTGAAGCCCGAGCCATTTGGCAGGAACTAAAGGCCCTAATGGCCCCTGTGCTCTCCATTCCTGCACTGAAGCACTTTTATTGGTCTGACCTAGAGCTACAATCAGTGCCTGGTCCAGTTTCCCAGCGGGTCGGCCGGACCGCTGACACAGCCCTTGTCTCGAGTCCTGAGTCCTCTGTTCAGCTGGGTGCTTTTTTCTGTCGCCTGGCCTGAACCCTAAGGACCGCAAACCCTCACTTTTTGAGGGAACTCGGTGGGCCATCTGTCCTGGGGGTCCAGGGAGAGGGAGGACTAGGAGGAAGCCTCAGACTCAGCCTGTGTCCCAGCTGCAGTCCCCAGGACCCTTGCTTTTTGGGGAACCCGGTAGGCTCTCTGTCCTGGGGGTCCAGAGAGAGGGAGGACCAGGAGACAGCCTCGGACTCAGCCTGTGTCACAGCTGCAGTCTCCAGAGTCCTCGTCTCATCTGGACCTCCAGCAGCTGCAGCTGCCGCCGCCTCCAGGCCCTAAGCCAGGTCCCGAGTCGCAGTTGCTGCCTCCAGCAGAGCCAGTTCCTGTTCCTGTTTCTGAGTGAGTCAGCTGGCTCGCCAATGCCGTTTCTGAGCCCGTCCCTGTTCCTGGGCCTGAGCGGGTCAGCTGGGCCGCCAACGCCACCTCAGGCCTTGTTCCTGTTTCTGAGTGGGTCGGTCAAACCGCCGACACTGCCTCCGAGCCTGTTCCTGTTCCTGTTCCCGAGTGGCTCACCCAGCGTGCCGACGCCGCCTCCAAGCCAGTTCCTGTTCCTGTTTCCGAACGGGTCGGCTGGACCACCGACGCTGCCTCAGACTTTGTTCCTGTTCCCGAACAAGTCGGATGGACAGCTAATGCCGTCCCTGAGTCCACCCCTCAGCGTTGTTACCTAAGCGTCTCTGCTGGGTCTGAGAACCGCAGGTGTGTTGATGACAGTGTCCCTGCCAGGGTCCCAGATCTTCAGTGTGCCGAGGACACGCCAACAGGAGCCTCGATGCCTCGATGCCGCCTCTGCCCTTCCTCCTGAGGTGTGCACTGACGATGACGTCAACGCTGCCCCTGTTCCTGTTCCTCCAGAGGGATTCACCAACAAGGATGGTGAAGCAATCCCTCTTAAGCGGGTTCGCTGGCGAGCCGGCGCCGCCTCCGAGCCTGATCCTGTTCCCGAGCGGGTCGGCTGGCGAGCCAACGCCGTCGCCATACACTGAGTAACAGCGCTATTTTATAATACACAGTGGTGTGTTTGAATCTAGGCCAGATGTGGAGAAACAGTCACACAGTATTTCACCTCAGTCAAACTTTACGTGATATCTTGTAAATAACGACACTTTGGATACAGTTAACCTTTTATAGCTGTAGTATACGAACATTAATTATTACTAAACATTCCTCAGGCACAAGTTGGAGGTGGCATCTTATGGGACCGAGTCCAGTCAGGAAGCCACCTCGAGATGGACAGAGAGCATGCGTCAGAAAATATGTATGTATGTATGAAAATATGATGCCTTGCATCAAACCAAGAATGGAGTCCTGTTAACAATTGAGAAAATTTCATGTCTAAATCTAGATTACTAAAGGTCTTTGAGTATCCAGAAATGAAGACTAACGGGAGGATGACTTGTATAAAACTGCAAGTAATGGAGTCTTGTGATGTTTTTCTTTTTTTTTTTCTTTTTTTTTTAACAATCATTAACATCCGAGGGAGACCACACATGTGAAGTTAATTCACTGCTCAGTGCCTAGAATGGTTAGATATTGTGTAGAAAATAGTAAACACAGAAAGATGTGTTCTTCAAATGAAGACATTTCATTTTCATTGTAAAACTTTTTTAACACATATGTTTGTGAAACACTTGTCTTTTTATATTCCTGTAATACCTCCTGTTCTACATTCAAGGTGGAAGTGGCCAGAGGATCCTATCTCTGTTGGCTACACAAACAAGATACTCCAGATGATCACCAACAATGGGAAACACATGCTTTACATTTTCCCTCTTCAAGAACAAATTGACACTACACCCCTTCTCTATTAATATCGGTAAGATCACCAGAACAATGGTGTAATTTCATACATAGGTTTGTAGAAAATATTGTCCATCTTCAGAGATGCTCTAGCTGGGCATTTTTAGGATGCAGCATATGGGGTGGTGGTTTATTGTGTTGTTGTATGAAGAGTGTCTTTGTTCATGAATAAAGGTAGAGAAAGGTAGGTGACACTAATCTCACTTGAGGTGGATGCACAGCTTTTAATTACCATTACAGGCTTTCTCATCCATGTGGAACCTTTTAACAAGAGTGGTGCTTTACAACTGCAGATTAGTTTAAATTACTGTTAGAGATCAAATTTGCATGGCCTGTTTCATAAATTGAGGGTAAACAAAAATGGGAATTGTTAAAGTGAATGTTCTTTATAGGCTTGATAGCGACAAACCCAGCAGAGAGACGACATCAGCACTCTGGCCTTTTCTTGGGACTTGCCACCAGTAATTCAGAGATGGCTATGTCAGCATGTGGTGAGATGACATGTTGTATTTCAAGTCCCCCGGCGCCACCTCCGAGCCGGGGGACTTTTTGAAGGAATTCGGTGCCCCCCCCAGATTTTGTCTAAATGTTGACTTGGAACTTTGTAGTGTCCATTCTGCATATAAAAAGATGGTCACTGCCCAGGTACAAATAATGTGCCCATTAAAAGCCTTTTGTTCAAAATGAAGCAAACCTATCAAAATCAAAACAGGATGGGTTGAAATTATAGAGCTTATCATGCTTTAAATTCAAACTTTTTCCATTTTCCCCTTAGGCAATCCTTCCTTAACCAGATGTCATTCTGTGGCCAGACAATCAGCAGCAGCATTCTTGAGGACATGCATAGACACAGGCAAGTTTGTTTATAAATGGACCATTTATTATTGAAATCAAAGCTTTACAAAACTTTTCTTTTTTTGCAGCCACTCAATCCCAGCTCAGCTAGCTGCTAATGTTTTGTGTAAGATGGGAAATCCGTACTGGGTTTATTAAGGCCTCACATTTTTCTCCATGCTGTTGCATTGCATGTGCCTGGACAACAGTTATGAAGACTCTCTAGTCATGTACTACAAGAGAACCCACATGACTGGAGAAGTCTGTGGCAGGCTAAGCTGAGTGGAGTGCCTTCTGAAACCAGCAAACTGGGCAATAAGCTCCTAGAGGAGGAGGAGGCGGCGGCAATGCAATAGCCCTTTAATGAATCTTATTTGTGTAAAATGTGCATTTAGTAAGAACTGTTGACTTTTCCTTCATGCTAATGGATAGACACACGTTTAAACTTTTGCTGGTTTCTGCTATTAGTCAACTTCACAGGGTAGAAAGCACAAGAGGTCTGTGCTGCTTTTGGATGTTGTAATGAAACAAACTTGTTGATTTTCCGACAGTCTAGAAAAGCCTGAGATTGAAGATCATGACTAAAACAAGATTGGTGTAATGCTGTGTACCACCACTAAAGGGCAGCCTTACTGTGTGTTGAGGAGAAGGGGAATATAGTGTCCAGATATAAAGAGATATACACAGGAAATGAGTGAGATGTACAAACCACAGCACAGGCTGACTGTAGATATTTGCTCAGCCTTTGATTTTGAATCACTTTTAAGTCAAGTCAAGAATCTTAATTGTCATTATGCATAGCACAACAAAATTTCTTCCGGCAGCTCTTGGCTTAAAAGACACATTAAGATAAGCACACTGGGCATCACCTGCGATCGTGAGCTCTGGCTCAGCCGAGGAGAGGCCTACTGGGTCCATCAGGAACATGTTGACATCTCCCACCATGCACTGCTCCTATTCTATACTGGGATCTGCCCATAGCTGCTTATACAAGATGATGAATGTGTACTCTGGCAAAAAATTAAAAAGTTATCACAAATTAAACAGCTTTTCTTTAATAAAAGTTGAATGATTTTACTAGTGCATGACCTCAGAATGAACGATGCCTTATTTTCATATCATATCCATTAATTACCAGTTATTTATAAACACTTTAACCTAACAAATCTGATGGATGATGGTATGAATGTCTGGAAGGAATGATGTGGAAACCATAAGGACAGAACTTGAAAGCAGTGTTGACCTCATAAAGCAAATGTCACTGAATCATATTTCACTTTATCCTATCATAAGTTGTATTAAATAAGCTTCTGTTATTTGGACAATGTGTTAGCTTATTTATGTAGGCATTGTAAAAACTCTGAATGTTAAAAACCTGTTACTCTAACTTAGAATAAGTTAACAAAAGTAAAGGAAGTTCCCTCAGATTTATCTTTCCAGCCACTGCTGTATGATCGGTTCAACCAAAAGTTTTTCTCTTTGTTTTATTTAGGTAGTTTTCAGAGAAATCAAGGTGTCCAGTTATTCACATGAAAACTCTAAGGTTAAGTCTGGCAATCCTTCAGATTTATAACAACTGCTTTAGAGGATGAATAAGAGCATGTTCTGTGTGTACATTTACTGCAGAAGAAGTCTTACTGTCATCATCTTCCCCCCAGCTCCCCTGCACGTCGTACTCCTGTTCCAGCGGCTGAGGTGGTCAGATGCTGCAGCTCAGGACGCTTCATCCATTCATGATACCTGAAGAGTGTAAACAGGTGGATAAGAGACAGGGACTACAGGTTTCTACAGCTTTAACTTAATCATGTATCCAGAGGCCAAAGGACTGGAGCGGGTTGTCTGTGCCAGTTAAAGAGACTTCATACTGTCAAAGGAGCAAAAGCTTGTATTGACAGCTGGGTCAGATGTGTCATCTGTCTAAGTTATTTCTTCACCTTCTGCCAGCATGGACAAAAAGCTTTCAAATGCTCCATGACAAATGAGACCGTATGATTTGATCGAAAGCTCCAGAAAAGCTGCTAAATGGAACTTGCAATGAGATTGTTTTCTCAACATTATTATTAGTTACAGACTTATTTAGAAGTCAAACTAAAACCCATCCGCCATGTTTAAACATTGATAGTAAAGAAATGACATTCTAACACTCATCAATAAAGATTTCAGCAGATAAAAATAAAAGAAAAAATTGACAGGCTTCTGGTGTGCAACAAGACTGCGGCCGATCTTTCTCAAGCTCCAGTGTTGAAACATCTGTCGTGCACACACTGACAAAGTAAAAATCACATGCAATTACAAACATACCTTTCATCTAGACACACTTTTATTAGCAGATGGAAATCGCCTCAAGGCATTTTACAAATGATGAACACATTTATTAGCACTTTTATTTTATTATTTCAGACTCTGTGCGTATGTACATGCACATGTGCGTCTGTGGATCTGTTTATGTTTGGTTGCTTAATGGCTCTGCCCAATCCATGCCACAGCTTCACCGGATACTGTGGAGTGTTGACCATGTCCATCCAGTGCTGCAGCTGAGGGCCTCTGGCATACATGAAGGGCCCTAACACCAGCACTCCCAGTAGGACTGAAGGCTCTGGGAGAAAGATATATGAATATCAGTGTGTAAGTGTTTCGGATCTAGTCTGGTACAATGTTCGCATTACTGCTGATGCTGCCCCCATCCACCTATCATTCCCATGCCAAATTTTACCCTTGCTCATGAACAAGATATA